GGGGCAGACTGTACCTTGAGGTAGTTTATACCTCAAGGTACATTCTACCTTAAGACTATTTCTTCGTCAAAGTACCTCAAGTTTGCGCGCTTGATTCTACCTCATCTTGCATGATTTGCGGTGACGCTCATTCAGGGCACCTCATAACCAGGGCCCGGCACGAATCCGTTTCTAGGGTTTTTAAAAATGAAGTCACCCCTGAATTTCGAGAATTTTACGAAGTCCCCTCTGACCCTTGCCCTACCCCCCCCCCCCTCGCCATCATAGTCTGAATCAACAAGCGCATCTGCATACATTTCCAAAGGATCTTTAAGTACTTCCATAATGCGTTTTGACTCCAACGAGCCATTGTTGACCATTCTCATACAAACCTGAGATTGGAAAATTGGAAAAATAATTAAATTGAAAAAATTGAAAAATTCAGCGAAAATCAAGCCGATGGAATATACTATAGAAAACTTCTGGCGGATGGTCTTCCAAGAAGAATGTCCACACATTGTCATTTCAACGAAGGTATCCCTGGTGAATTTCGCCACCCTAACATGTTTCACCTAACCAGGGCCGGTAGTAAACCTGTCGAAACGCGCAGCTCAAACTCAGAGTTAACTCAGAGTTAACTCTGAGTTAACGCGCACCTTTCGGGGACCATTAACACCTGCATAAGCAAACCAAATTGGGGAAAGGGTTATATGGCAGGATACCCCGCAAGACGTACTTTATGCCAAGTATGGAAACTTAGCGTAATTCGTTCCACGCGAGACGCTACGCGACGAAACGCGCAGCTCAGCTGCGCGTTAACTCTGAGTTTGTTGCGCGTTTCAGCAGCCCGCGAAACTCGGAGTTAACTCTGAGTTTGGTTAGAGAAAGAGAAATAGTGCGTAAACGCAGAGGTCCAGAAAAAAGTCCTCCGGAGTAGATTTTGCTCCGAGTTTCATGAAGCATGACGGGGGTATCATGGTGCACCGTTGAACACAAAAATTCAAAATTTTGTAAAATTTTGGTCCCGGGGGTTATCCGACGCGCTGATCACGAATCCGATACTCATTTTTCGCCATTCGCCCACGTAGGGGGTTACGGTAGGGATACGGTAGTTGGGCAAAAGTCACGAAATTGGCTGAAACTCGGTACAGTGGGGTTATTTGGCACGCTGATAACGAATATGATGTTCATTTTGAACTGCGGGATCATTTAGAGATGTTACGGTAGGGATACGGTAGTTGGGCGAAAGTCACAAAATTGGCTGAAACTTGGCACAATGGGGTTTTTTGGCACGCTGATCGCTAATATAATGTTTATTTTAAACTGCGGGACCATTTAGCGATGTTACGGTAGGGATACGGTAGTTGGGCGAAAGTCACGAAATTGGCTGAAACTTGGCACAATGGGGTTTTTTGGCACGCTGATCGCTAATATAATGTTTATTTTAAACTGCGGGACCATTTAGCGATGTTACGGTAGGGATACGGTAGTTGGGCGAAAGTCACAAAATTGGCTGAAACTTGGTACATTGGGGTTATTTCGCATGCTGATCACGAATATAACATTCGTTTTTCGCTACGGGGCCACGGAACGGGATTACGGTAGGTATACGGTAGTTGGGCAAAAGTCACGAAATTGGCTGAAACTCGGTACAGTGGGGTTATTTGGCACGCTGATAACGAATATGATGTTCATTTTGAACTGCGGGATCATTTAGAGATGTTACGGTAGGGATACGGTAGTTGGGCGAAAGTCACAAAATTGGCTGAAACTTGGCACAATGGGGTTTTTTGGCACGCTGATCGCTAATATAATGTTTATTTTAAACTGCGGGACCATTTAGCGATGTTACGGTAGGGATACGGTAGTTGGGCGAAAGTCACGAAATTGGCTGAAACTTGGCACAATGGGGTTTTTTGGCACGCTGATCACTAATATAATGTTTATTTTAAACTGCGGGATCATTTAGCGATGTTACGGTAGGGATACGGTAGTTGGGCGAAAGTCACGAAATCGGCTAAAACTCGGTGCAGGAGGGTTTTCTGGCACGCTGATCACGAATCCGATGCTCATTTTTAGCCATTCGCCCATATAGCGCGGTTACGGTAGGGATACGGTAGTTGGGCGGAATTTATAAATTTTGTCGAAACTTGGTACAATGGGGTTACTTCGCATGCTGATCACGAATATGATAGTCGTTTCTCGCTACAGGGCCACAAAGCGGGATTACGGTAGCTATACGGTAGCTGGGTGAAGATCACAAAATTTGGTGAAACTTGGTGTGGTGGGGTTATTTGCCATGCTGATTATGAATATGCTAATCATTTTGCATGAAAATGCAATTTGTGGTTCAGCAGCCAGCCATCAGTGCCGTATTTTGTCTCGAACCTCTAAGCAGCCTGTGCGCTGTGAAATTAAAGCCATAAGTCAAGTCTCATCCATTTCCAAAAACACGTGCACCCTAAGTGGTCTTATAGAACGGTCCTTGATGCCATAAATGTATCTGTCAACTTAAACTTCAATATCATTTCCGCATGCTTTTCAACCACACAACTACCAGCACTGAGAAACTAATATATACTTCCAACCGCCTCCTCCAAAAATGTAAATGTAACAGATTTTCGCAAGAAATTTTTCCACCGAAACCAAACTATGTATGCTTTTTGCCAGTTTGTGATATGATTGTAACTACGCAAGTTTTGATCGAATGAACAAATATCGAATAATATCTTTAAAAATTCATCGAACGAATGAATAGCGAATAATGAAGAAAAAGGGGACGTGGCGCGAGTCACGCCTCCGAAATAATTTACAAGTTTTCAAATGAACAAATATTACTCGATTTCCGATTTTTATATTATTCGAATCTGAATATTCGATGGGCACATTCCAAAATTCGAACTATCGATTATTCGATTGACCGAACTTGATCGAATGACTATTCGAATAAACAACAACTGAATACCATTGAATATCGAATGCAATAATTATTCGAATGTTGGCATGAAATATTCGAATATTCGAATATTCGAATAATTTATTCTCCCGATTTGTCAAATGAACGAATTCGAATGAAGAAAACTTATCAGCCAGCCATTGGCGGTCCCAAGATTTTGCGCGGGGGGGGGGGGGGGTAAAAAAATTTTTTTGAATGAAGGTGCATGGCATTAGCCAAGCACTCCGAAAAAATTTTTGGAGTGCTTCTCAAATTCTTTACCTCCCAAAATGAAGAAAAAGGGGGCGTGGCGCGAGTTACGCCTCCGAAAAATTTTTTTTACAGGGCTAATTTGAATTTTTGAAGAATTTTAAAAATTATTTTAATTATCTACATAAACAAACAAGTCACTTGCACATTTTTATAACCCACGTGAGTAAATTTCGAAAATTTCGCGACTCAATCTCGGGAGGGAGGGCGCCCCCTCGGTCCGCCACTGCAGCCAGCCAATAGTATCATCAAAATGATAGTGGCGTGTTCATGATTTCATTATGCGTTTTTATCACACATGGCTTCTACATTTTACATATGTTCGAGTTCGAGAGCTTCTAGCTAAATTTTGATACTTAAATTATGTTTTGTCAATGAAGCAGTCACCTTCACTAGTTATCCTATTTAGGAATGCAGCTGGAGATAATCAATTTTTCTAAGGTTGGTATTTTCTGAATAGAAGATGATATCGTAGGTGGGGGTTGAGAATGGGGGGGGGGGGGAGTACGTATAGGTATTGTAGTGAATCACCCTGCTTAGAGCAAAAAGGCACCGTGCCTCTTAACGTGCCTGAACACGTAGGATGTAAGCAACGAGTACTAATCGCGGCAGAATGGCGGTGGTGCTAGGGTGCCTGTAGTCTAGTGGTTTAGTGGTAGGCACTTAGCGCTGAGCGACGAGAGTTCGACTCCCGACCTAGTCGGAGTGTTTTGCGATGAAGCGTGTGGTAGCTCCTCAACAACTATGGCGGCTCCGCAAGTAGCACCACGAAACTGTTAACGGGTTAAGGTCGTCATCGTAAGTTAACTCTGACAAGGGAACGATCCCAACTTAAGGTGGCGAATTGGAAGGAACTGCATACCATTAGATGCGTCTTGATGAGCTGATTCCAAATCTGTCTTCCATATCTGCGACACCGTTATCTGCAAAAAGTTATGAGCGGTTGAAAATGTGAAGTTATCGGGGTTTTAATGAATAATATGCTTTAAAATCCGACTTAGAAATGCACGACTAGCATGATATTGAGTGTGCTGATTCCAGGGAATGCTCAGATTCTAAAAAAATACATATAAGTGTTTTCGAACAGCTAAAAAGCAACTAAAGTTTTTTGGTAAAAGCTATGAGCAATGGAAAGTCCAAATTTGGCAAATGTATAGCGTCATACCTCGAAAATTAGTTGTTCAAAAACACTTATCTGTGTTTCTTTAGAATCTGAGCATTCCCTGGAATCAGTACACTCAATATCATGCTAGTCGTGCATTTCCAAGTCGGATTTTAAAGCATATTATGCATTAAAACCCCGATAACTTCACATTTCCAACCGCTCATAACTTTTTGCAAATAACGGTGTCGCAGATACGGAAGACAGATTTGGAATCAGCTCATCAAGATGCATCTAATGGTATGCGGTTCATTCCAATTCGCCACCTTAATTTGGGATCGTTCCCTTGTGAGTTTCAAAACGAAATACAGAGTTAACTCTGAGTTAACGCGCAGCTTTAAACTCGGAGTTTCGGCCAGATTACTACCGGCCCAGATTTCAGATTACTGAGATGGTAAAGTAAAAAGTACGCAGTATTGGCCATTGCAAGCTGGTCAGTATCAGAGTTCGGAAAAATGTTTGTCAATACTAAAAAGATAGTAAATATCAGATATTAGGCCTGAGAATGTGAACTTTCCCTAATTCGAGCTCTATATTAAGGTTGAATCGGAAGAAGTCTTACCTGATGGTTGCTCTAATTCAAATAAGTGAAGGTCGGCGTGCTAATCAAAGATTGCAAATACAGTATTATCCAGATGATTTAAGGCACTCCATATGACCAGCTGGCCAGATCGTGACCTACCTATGAGCGGTCGCCATGTGCTTCGTTTGATTCGTCAAGTTAGCGTAAGCACGACCACACAAAAGTTGCCTTATCGAACTTTCAGGATCTAAATTTATCGGCTCAGACGGTAGAAGTTTCGCTTTTCAGGGTGACAAATTGGACAACGGCCCTATAGTGTATAATGATTGTGCCAGTTCTGTCTATTCCAGCCGGCATTGCTCGGCTGGAATAGACAGAACTGGCACAATCATTATAATTGACATCATTCTAAGGAAATTATTTAGCTGCAAGGAAGTCGATGTAAGCATGAAAAGAGAGGAAAAGTTATTTGTAAAAAGTTTTGTATCTTAAATTCAGATAGTAGAGGTAATCAAAACCCTTCGTAACCAATGCGCATCCTGCGCACAGCTCGAGGGTCAATATGTTTTCGTTATACTTAGCGTTCTTGTTTATATAAATGTGAGTACCGAATGCATCAAATTCATCCGTGATTCCGTTTGTACACTTTTTTTTGCAGATCAAGTGTTCAAAGTACAAGGAACGAGTGAACAAGTACATCGAAGATTTCCGAACTGCGATGTTTGTTGCACAGTCTTAATAACCTTATAAAAGACAGATACTTCAAATTCAAGCCAAACAGTTGAACGATGAAATGATGACAATAAATTGAAGTCTCGAGGCCATGTGTATTGTTGCGTTAGTTGCGCACGATAGACAAATCTAACAAACATATTCAATGGCATAACAGATTTTTGCCTCCTCTCTCAACAAAAAACATCTGAGTAAATCGTAAACGTAACAATTCATCAACAAGTAATAGCGTGCACAGATCATAAAGTATCATATGTATATAAACAAAGCCTACTTACATGATTGTATAGCTGATATGCATTTGTTCCGTCATCATTTCGTTATGAGAGCCTTGATCTTCTTGAGAAAACCCACATATTGCGAGTTGTAGTGCGTAGCCTAAGCAACCAGAGTTTTGCAGAACTGGGCATCACATCCGCGCTCTTAGGTAGCGGACAAAAAGTAAGTTGTGGAGATCCTAAATATTAGGCTGTCCGGAAATTAATGCCCGTTTTGAATTTCAACCGCAACAAGTCACACACTTTTCATTCCTGAATAGCTTTCAAGGTACCATTTGATAGAGCAAAGCAAGCTCTACAAAATGGCTGTCTTGTTTTAGCAACAGCTCTGATCCACCTAGAGTTTCGAGCCAAAAACTAAAAAGATTCAACTGCCCGAAAAATCAAGAAAAATCATAATTCAGTTTGTAAGACTTCTACAAAAATTCTAACTTGCTCACGTAAACACTATCCACATAAGACACATATGTACGCTATTGCCGTATTTTTTTCTCTGTTAAAAATCGAAAAAACGAAAATGTTCATACTTTTGCAAAAGTGATGCTGTGTCATCCCCACATAAGTAGATGTATACTACAAATCTGCAGAAGTAAAAACGTAAATTTTCAGCTTTTTACAAGCTTTTGTTCTCGAGAAATTTGAATTTTAGTTTGGACCACCTGACTAATGAAAGCTATATTCGATATTTCTCGAGAACTAAAGCTTGTAGAGAGCTGAAAATTCACGTTTGTACTTCTACAGATTTGTAGTACACATCTATTTACGTGGGGACGACACAGCATCAATTTTGCAAAAGCATGAGAATTTTTGTTTTTTCGATTTCTAATAGAGGAAAAAATACGGCAATAGCGTACATATACAGGGCTCCTCAATTACAGAGTCGCTTACACCAGCAGCTCCCGCCCCGCACGGCCGCATCGCCTAAACCCCGCGCGGCGTCTGCGATGCGTGCCCGGGCATTTTGCCAGGCCTCGATCGATGGCGCCGGCGCTGGCATCGTAATTTCTCGGCCGGTTCGTCTCATTTCTTTGTTCTTTCGCTCACTTTGTCCTCATTCAGCCTCGTAATAATTTTGCGATGTCATATCATGCCGATCTGCGTCACAATTCTTTTGTAGCTGAGGTTTTAGGGTTTTGGCTTGGCAGCAGGGTCAAGCGTGTTGATGCGATCCTGGACCCTCATTTACGACCCCCCCCCATGAAGGTACCCATCCGTACGACCCCCCCCCCCCTCCCCTCCCCCCCCCCTCCCCTTCCCCCATCTACCCCCCTTACCTCTCCTGCCCACATTTCTCGCGGTAACCTGCATAAACTAATGTCAATCTCAAAAAACACCTGCGTGAGAACTTCAGCGGAATTTCGGAGGCAGAATTTCTAGGCCAATGGGTGCGCCCAGCATCTCTAGCACATATACACATCTTAAATAATGTTTGAGATTCTGCAAGTTTACTTTTGAATTTTCAGGCACACTTCAGGCCAGCAAATTTGATTCCTTATGCGATACAAATTTTTACACGGAGAACAAAATGACATTCTTGAACTACAAAAGATGTTTTCGACTAAGAAGCTCAGTTCTTACCTCTTCCACAGTTTTTCCTGCGAAAAAAACCGCTTTAGCGCCGTCTAGAACGACGTCAAAAGCATGCATGAGTACGGTAGTTTGAAAATCCGTAACTAAGGCCAGGAAAAGACTGAGAGGCTGCAAAGAACAGGTTCAGTAGCATAGTGCCCAGACTATTCATAGAAAAAGTTTCAGCCCTTGAGGAGCAGTGAGCTCGAAAAAATTTAGATCAGTCTCTCGCAAATTTAGATGCGATCCTAGAAAGCAAAAACTGGGATTTTTGAGCCTAAAATTTTGTAACTTACCAGAGAAGTTATAAAACAGCCTGAAATTCTTACGATAAAAACTAGAGGGATGGCCTCGTATTACAGCAAGTTTGCAGCTAACAAGCTTCAATAGCTCCGGAGAAACTTAGATCAGGCGCAGATACGACCCCCCTTTTCTCATTTTTTGCTAGCATACATAAAATCATAAGAAAATCCGCAGTTTATAAAATAACACCAGATTTCTCACAGCAGTAGTAGGGCTTATCTAAAGCACACGTAAATTGTAAGGGCCGCATAAATGGCATTACAAAAAGATTTACGAATTATTGATTGTCATCGTTGATCTACATGTGCGCTTTTGTCGAGTGTGCGAGTCTTCAGTGAGCCTTCGGAAGCAGGATGTCTACACCGATCAGTACGTCCAACATCTTTATCACACATACATGCCTTTGGCAGCATTTGAGCTTCTGAAAATGTTTATTTTTTTGATTTTAGTCATGCCAGCAGGGTTCGATTCCCGTTTGAGACAATATTTTGCGGGAGAGATAGCGATTCCCATAAAAAAAGAACTAACAATAAGTCATAATCTTTCAAAAGTGCAGCAAATGAAGCGAATTCTTACGCTTGCGAATGTTTTCAAATTATTGTTCACTCGTTTTTATCTGATACATTAGTACACGGCACGGCATTCCATGAATTTATTGTTAAGAACATGTAATATTTACTTGCCATTTGATTTGCTTTCAATCGTACGGTTTTTTATCCAAACTACCCCCTCTTACGACCCCCTCTCCTGACCGTAGGCCCCCTTCACGACCCCCCGTTGCGACAGTCGCATCACACGCTTGACCCTGCTTGGCAGTGATGGGATTTTCTCGTTCAATTTATCTCGCTTCTTCGTTTTTTCGCGCTGTGGTGCCTCAGAAAGTTTTATCGTAGTTCAGTGATGAAGAAATATGTCGCAATCCAGCGCAATAGTTTTTTTCTAGACCTGTGGTATTTGTGGGATTCCTAGCTCCTGTTTTTCTTGCCATGCACATGTAGGAGCTTGTGTTTGTCTGCTGTGTGTGAGTTATCTGGTAGGTTTGTGATTCTCATCTTTTTTTCATGATGTTATCTCTTCATATAGGATCCATGCCGCGACGTTCTTTGGTCGATGACCCCTCATTGTTTCTGTCAGCCTTGTTTTGGTTCAAGCGCACAGGTATGTTCAGGATCCTTGCTCGAAATTACGCTGATGTTGTACGCCGTTTTGCTTTAGGTGCCCATTTTTCTTCCATTGTGACATCTATGAAGAAATGTGACTCAGTGTAGTGAGATTGCATATATGTTGCACAGTCACCTCCCAAGTTCCGATTTTGGATTAAAAAAGGTATCTAGTAGGTATGTTAGATTATCTAGTAGGTATGCTCATAAGACAGCTGAAGTTCTCTTTCCTTTCATGACAATAAACAGAGTAGCTCCCCGGAACATTACCGCTCATGATCACTTGCCCTATAGAATTGTACATGTTTATTGATTTTTACATCGAAATAGTGCTTTTGAAGTTGTCAGTTTTCTTGATTCTAATATGAAAAGGATTTTGTTCTCAGGTGAGTCAGTGATATATCGTTACAAACTCAAACTTCTCTCTAACTCCGCCTTTGTTGAAAGTGACGATATTTGTGCGTGTTTGCTTACTTCAACGTCCCTTGTAGAAGATGCATCGCGGATGTGATGACTTTTCCCTAAGGTAATGAGTACTTTATCTGCCTACTTTTTATTTTGTCTGTGATGCCCTAACAGAAATACTTCGTTTAGAGCTTATGTGGAGCTTAATCGATTTCCGAAAAAGGCATTCTCTAATCAAAGAAATGTGAATGGCGGATGCTTTAGTTCACAATGTACACTTTTGTTGTCAGCAACCTGAGCAGGTTGAAATTAGTGCATCTTTATCCCTATTGTTCAAGTAATGTCCTCATTTCCGGTTTCCTTTCTATAATTTTGATCACCTTTCTCATTCAGTCATCTTGCGAAGTATGGTTTATGTCGACATCGTTCAAAAGGACAGGAATGTTATAGTCAGCGTTCTAATACTCACCTGCTGCGTAATACGCCGAACTGTGGCATCCTACCTACACCGTCACGTCTCATGCGCTGAATCTAGTGTGTAGGTAGTTAAATAAAGTTTTTTCTTATAATTTTTGATTTTTCTTTGTTTTTTTCTGTTTTTTTCCTTGATAAGTCACTTTATTACAAAAGAGATATCAAAAGTTTATTCTTCATCAGAGAGAGACCATGGCGTTTTCTGACTCATCTAAGCTCTCGCAGGAAGACTGGTCAGAGGAAGAAGTTTCGTCATCTTCCTCTAGGTCCAGTGTCTGCTTTTCTCTAGCCGCAGTTTCTTGTCTCTGCGCATCGCGAAACCACGCGCTTGCACGATTTGCCGATACATCCGCCAACCAACTGACCGTTCTCTCCCTTACCTAAATTCTGCGTATCCATTCTTGTTTTGGGGTTGGGTACAAAGGTGATTGGGGTTGGGTGAGCTTTAGTTGGTTATGTACCACACCAATATTGTCGGTTATTTTCCCACACTTGTTCAGGAATCCCTTCAGCTGACCCCAGCAAAGCTCGATGGGATTGAAAAAGCAATGAAAAGGGGGAAGTCTTATTAGATTTACTCCCAATTCATTGCATATTCTCTCCGTAGCGTAGCTACGGAGTGCCGAATATCCGCCTGCTTCTTCGACATAACTGTTCAGCTGAATCGCGTCGTTTAGGTTCTTTTTCATTAAACAAAAGCGATTACCTCCATCAGCAGAATTTGTTTTGTAGCTGTTCTCTCCACAGCTATTCCTTTTTTCTCGAGGAATTCCCTTATTTGCGCCTTGGTTGATGAAGATGTAGGCACTTTCTCCTCCTGTCGCGTATGGTACGGCGCGTTGTCCATAACCAGACAAACGCGCCTGCGATTTGCTCGCGCTTTCATGTCGATCGCGAATCAATCGCGATCGACAACAATCGCGCAGCCAAGATTCGAAGAGCGTATGGTTCATTTCCCTGTGGTAATCGCCATCATCAACCATTCCGCTCACAAATACCCTCGTGCACTCGGGTATGATGCCGTCCTCCGCCAGTGCACCAATCACTATCGCCCTTCTTCCTTTATTCTTGCTGGCCGTCTTCCCATAGGAGTACCTAGCAAAGGTGGATCGAGGGGCAAACCTGGGGATGTTGTTGTCGTTCCAGCCTTTGGGTTTGGTCATCCCGCTGAACACCCAGGTTTCGTCCATGTACACTAGGTACTCCCCCCTTTCTCTTGCTGAGGCGATCGCTCTCAAGTAGTGATCCCTTTTCGCGACCAAATCAGATCTTTCAAAAATGAATTTTTGCCCTGGATTCTTCTTGAAGGAGAATCCCAGCCCCCGCACGAGCCTATGCAGGGTAGCTCGTGACAAAGTGAAGTCTTCATGGGCCGATGACAGCTCTTCGTGTAAATCTGCAATAGTCACGTTTTCCTCGTTTCGTAGTCTTCCATGAATTGCTTGCTTCACTATATCTCCCCACTGCGGACCGTATCTTGTAACCGTGGCCATCGTCATTTTCTTCCTGTTGTAAACACTCTTCTGTCGCCTTGGTTCTTCTTGCAGTTCGTAGCCCATCCGATTTAAGGTCCTCCGTGAAATGCCTAGGGCAAGTGCGGTTATCTCAGTGGGTTGCTGGAAGACGACTCTTGCGCAAGTTTCTTTCAGCCTGTTCTTCAATTCTTTGGCGAAGTCGAGGGCGCGTCTTATTAGTTCTTTCCCGTCACGTCCGTATCTCGCTCCCTTTTTTCGCGAGCCTTTGGGCCATCTGCTCATCTTCATTGAATCAATGACTTCTTTACAGATCTGACTACAGTCGCACTCTTTTACGTTTTCGTAGAGTCCCTGAAATGGAAATGATTCTCACTAAGGTAATGAAGGTAATCAGGCACAACATAAGCCTTATCTAGCAAGAATATATATTTGGCGGTATGGTTCTTAATATGTGATCTACAAGCAGTGTGCTTTGTATCATTGCATTTCGTCAGCAGAAAGTTGCATCGCTGAGGAATCTTCACAGTTCCCAGAGAATGCAACTCTGTACCGACTCTGCGGAATGCGAGTAATTACTTACCATCTTGCAGTGCTGTAGTGCCGAAATTAGAATATAGAGAGGGGCGGAGAAGCTAGACAAAATAGAGTTTGCTTATAGTTCCGAATACAGCAGTAATAGATTGAATAGCCAGACCGAATATAAGTATGGGTAAAGTTTCGAATAATTCATAGTAATAGAAGACTATGAATAAAGCAGTGGGTAAGTGAATAGTAGATTGGGAGATGGGTTGAGCTCATTGACTGGCGATTATGGTGCATTGGTCGCAACGTTCTTGCAAGCGAATAATTTCTACATCCACTTGAGATAGTCAAAGGATGAGCAAAGATGGTCGGCCTTAGCATGAATGGTCCACCCATTCACTTGAGAACATCCAATTAGGCTCTTCAGACGCAATCAAGGAAAGATGCATTGTAGAACCGATGCTGCCTTCACATCAGACTCACCATATCAGGGTTATAAGATACTTGCAGTGCTTCCGTGAATTCTAGAGCCGGAATGGTTGGTTCCTCCATCACTATGTCTTCAGGAAAACCCATCGACTGTTCGCGCTACAACATAAACTGTCAAAAGCAAAGAGTTTTAGTCAAAGAGGCCGTTTATCAGCTGAAGCGAATCACTAAATATATCAGTCAGATAAATTCCTCATATCTTATAATCACTGGGGGCAGGCGGCCATGCTATTTATAAGCAGGCGGGAACCGCAAAAAAAGTTCGCTGATTTCTTGCGGTCCGCCTGCAGATATCTGGAAGAATTTTTGCGAAATTTTAGACGAATGCTCGGAGAACAATTGCTGCTTTTTCAAAGATTAGTTGCGGCGCAGTGGCCGCATTCTCGCGGACTTTCCGCAAGAATATCAAAATTTTTGGGCACCGCACGGTCCTTTTGAAGGACCGCGCAGCCCGTAGGTATTTTTAATTGAACCATCGATGACACCTTTGTAATGTAGAGTGCTACCCTTGCTCAGTGTACGAGCGAAACTGCGTAAAAAGAGTTCAAGCGTCTGCTGAAAGTTTGGCCCGCGCTCGCTGAAAGAAAATATTTGACGAGCGCTTGCTATTGCTGCCCGCTGGCAGAAGACGGAGGTACCGCTAGCTGAAGGTTTGGCCACTCCCCAAAATTCTGCTGACCGTTTGCAGAAAAGCGCGAGTTCGCAGACCGCCTGCCCCCGGTGATTATCTGAGTCTGCTAAGAACGGATAGAAATAAGTCGACGGTCCAGTTCAAATCTCCATAATCTCATCTTTCGAACAGTATATAGCTTGTTAGGGCATTGAGCTTCCTAGCTTCAAAACATGCTTGCTCCGGTGACCCATGAAATACAATACAATGGGTGAGCGGGTAGAGCAAGCACCCCACAATCTATATAGCTATATAGCTATATAGAATATGGGGTTAAAAAACTCTATATAGCCATTTAAAAGCTTAGAAAACAGGGATTCAACGTAAACCATCGGCTTTCTTTTAGTCCTACTCTACCGAGAGATATTCTGCATTTTATCTAAAATTATGTCCATTATTAGCAGCAAATTTTTGCCCAACGAACACATAACTACACCTGATTATCTTTTTAGATTACAGAGCAATTCTTCGTCAATAAATTTAGACCCTCGTAACTTTCATCTTCATTGCGATAAGAGAGCAGAAAGTTAGCATGCTAGATCAATTGACATTTTAAATAAAATCGCTTATACCCGGCAAATACTAAAAAAAATCAACGGTTATTCGATTCTCTAGGGCATCAGCTTTCAGATGGTATGTAGCTTGTTAGGGCATTTCTTTCAGGGCTCGCTTATCCCTTCACACTACAAGGATGGGAGTAGCGGATACCTCCTTCACCTGGAGAGGGCCTGGCTTCCTTCGCACCTATGCAAAAGAGGATTAGAAGCACCAACGATGTAACAATTTACAATCCATTATTGATATAAAGAATACTGTTTATTCATGACTATGTTAAGGGGAGCGACTCGAAAATTCTATATTCTGCACTCCAAATTGGCGGCGCAAGAAGGTAAGCTGCAGGAACCTTCGTAAAATTATGTAAAATTTTCAGAAATTGTTAACTCAACAAGCTCTTGGTCACAACATTTGACGGTACCATTCGGCCTCAAACAAGAATTCAAGGAACAGCATTCTGTGTAAGAAAAGATTTTCCAGGAATTTCCAGGATAAACCATCTTACCATTTTTTTATACTTCGAGACATGTGTAAACTATGCAAACTTCTTCCATTTTCTCAAAAGTAATTCGATGGCCAGCATAGTAGAACAGAAAAAATTTACTGTGACAGTTTTGCTTTTAAAGGATCTACTGTTATTTCAGCCTTTTAAGCGCAGTGTATTAGGTCGTTCCATGAGTTCGTAGCGTTTTTATAAACCAACAAAATCATCAATTTAAGTAAAAATCACTCAAAATTATAATTCTGGTTGAAGCGCATAACCTTTTGGCACATTCTTGTCAGCTTCTCAACCTCAATTTTTCAAACGGCAGCGCGCCGGGTCCCAAGAAAGTCATCTAACCAGCGCTCAAGTTGCTTACTGAAATCGAGACATGCACAATTCATGAGGTTTGCCAGAGAGCGGAGCAAATGATAATTTGGTAGAGCGAGGTTTGGAGAGTATTTTGGGTACTGAAGTACCTTCCACTCGAGTCGTGCAGGAGAGTTTTGACGACGTTTGCCGTATGAGGCCATGTTTCGTCATGCAGAAAAACTCACTGAATTTGTCTTTTATGCTTTTTCTGCGTAGGACCTGGTTTAAACCGTGCATTTGGATTGCTTATGGCGTGGTTGACCGTCGCCTACTTGTCCAGCAATATTCAGTGCAGGACGTCCTGCCCGTACCCCGAAAATGCTCAGCTCCTGCTCTTTTGTACCAATCCAATTCTTTTTTTGTCTTATATTGATGAACAAACGCCACGTTACATAATCGACACAAAAATCTGTGCAAAAACGCTTCTTTTCATAACGAAAAAGGCGCAAATGCCGAAATTGCTCCTTTTTGCCTTTCAAAATTTCCATTTTTGGAAGCTGCGAGATCCGAGTAAATCAGCTTTCCACCGAAATCAGTAGATGTATTTCAAAAAGCACAATCAGCCCTTCCAAACGATATATGCATTCCGCCGCAAATCAACTGCTCCTCAAAGATATGAGTAGGAAAATAAAAACGCTACGAACTTATGGAACAACCTAATAGTTATGATACGTTGAATTTTTGAGCTTTTCAAAACCAATAGTACAACTCAAGACCATATACAAGAATTTTTTGCTTTTTAAAACCAGTGTTAGTACGGTAACCAGAGCATTCTGACATGACTTCAAAATCAAAACCGGATTTTAATGGAAGATATCACAAATCAGGCTGAAGTCTCGAGCGCATACCATCGATACATAGAGTGCACTCTGGTGACTTTCACTCTAAGCGATACATGAGAACACGACCTACCAGAAAACCAACAGAAGTCATCCAGGGCAAAGCCTCTTTATTATAAATAAATCGGAATGAATGCGATTGACAAGTATAGTGATTAATATCTCAATAACATCCCAGCAAAATCAAAAAACTGCATTTTATAGTCTTTCTTGTGCTATAAGCGACGTTTTGAAAAAATTTCCATAAAATTCGGGACAACACTTGTCAGTTAACCTCCTTTGAGTTTGCGATTGAGTTGCAAAGGCTCATGAAAGCTGTTGAAGTTCATCAAAAAGAAAAAGATCGCGAGAGTCGTATTTCGTTAAGGAATGATTTCTAACGCCGGCAACGTTGCATTGCTCTTAGTCGTGTCGTGACGATCAGGATGGTACATAATGTTGCATTGTTTCGTTAAGAGCCCGCGTAGATCTAACCACAGTCAAATGCCCCGTCGGCGCTGGTCTTTCTCCTCTGCTTGTCTGCGTCTCCACGCTTTGCGCGCTACCTCGCTACCCCAAACGCGGTGCACGAGGCACTTGGCTCTGGTACATTTTCTCCGTCTTTCGGAACCCAATCTTAGCAAACTGCTTATCCTATTCAAGCTTTTGAGCTCTATTTTCACGCCAACAACGTCACAACTCCATATTTTGATTTGAGCGACAAATCTGGCAAAAATCGTGCTTTCGAAAATCACTCGTTCTTTTTTAGTTCAGTTTTTTTTTTCACGTTTACTCGTGCGTTTCACAGATCTTGCTTCAGTCTAGAACCCAGACAACGTCACAAGGCTTACTTCTTTAATTGTGGTGAAACATTTGATAAGCTCTTTAAAGGGTTAATAAGCACCCATTTCTTCCACGCTTAGGGGCATCTCGCTCAAATTATGAGCAGAATAAAACTGGTCACCAAAAACGGAAACTAATAGAGAGAGGTAAAAATTTGAAGGAGGCATCAAGAACTGATTCGCTTTGACAAGCAGAATAGAAGTAGAAACAGCTTAGTAACAACTTAGTAGAAACAAAACAACTTACAACTTAGTAGAAACAAAACTTTGCGTTTTCGTCATTTTAAGACTTTACTTGTTTATCTTGTTTTTGATGATTACCACATCCAGAACATGTTGTTTTCAAAACACACAGAGAATAAATTAGCTCTTTCTTGTCCCCACTCTCCCCACCGCATTGTGGATAGCCTGGTCCTAGTTTGAAAACCTGCGATTCGAAATGCTGCCAAATGAAAGATTACACTCATTGCAGCGTTTTTATCCGTTTCCAAGGGTTTCTTTTGTTTTTGCTAATCATTTGCATCTTTTTACCATTTCCGACTTTTTATAAACAAATCTTCACTTTTCATGGGGAGAAGATATGCAGACCACCTTCATTTTTTTATGGGGAGCAAATATGCAAACATCCTTCACAACAGAGGCCCGGCCCTATCTCTAGACTATCGAAGGTGTGCTCGAGGGCCATTTCTCTTACCTTTCACTTTAAATACAGTGCGTTAAAGCTATGCGTGCACGACAAATTGACTTTTGTACTTTTTCGTCATTTCCTCCTATTTCTTCCACAATCCCTTAGTTCTTTCTATCAATTAATACACGTATTGCACATTTACTAACTGCCAGTGAGATTCAAATAAATGTTGAGATATGACTGCGTTGCTACGCACCCAGTAGATTTTCTGATTCAGAAAGCCATACGAGGCAATTGTTGTCAGACATCATCAGCAAATTACATTTCGTTTAAGTGTTCTGCTATCGTGTGCTCCTGAATGTTTTTTGAACATGAAGCGTACTGAAGGAAATATTCTCAAGCCGTTTGTAACTTATTGTGTGTGCCTGCACATTATGCCCGGCAACAGATGATTCCGAACTAGTGGTTTTTCAGTAACACTTTCTCAGTGGAACGAACTGAGAAATGTGTACCCTAACTAATACATACCATTCAAATCAAAAAAGAGATTGAGAAGGAGAATTCACTGAAATTGAGCAGCTTCTAATTTAGTTTAGCCGTCAAGTAGCACGCATGGTGTGAGATTCGTTTATTGAAAACGATACATACTTACAAAGTTAGTTATGAATATTGCTAGAATGGCACTCATTCAATTTTTGACTTCAAAAAAATGTCTCAAATTACTTTGTTTATCTGCATCCAGACTTAAAGGCAGTGTCTCACCAAAATTTAGTTGCCGAGATTTTTGCATTTTGCAAGCCTGTCGGACCCTATCTAGCACTGTATGGGCTTAAAAACGCACGAAGTTCCCAAAAACCCCGTTTTCTGGAGGCCCCGTGGAAGCAACATGGACGAGTTGTACCTTCCAACTTCAGCCTCAGCTACAGTAGCAGCAACAGAGGGGAGGTGGATGCCAAGTGGAGGGACATGTTCAAACGCGTAAGGGGGGAGACCGAAGGAGTCGTCCGCGCGTACGAACTTGCTCTCCGCGTACCACTTTGAGCGATTTTTTCTCAGCGTGGAGGGGGTAAAATTGAGTGGGACTTGTTGCAATGGCCTACTTAGAGGTCCCTATAATAGAATATGTGAAGATCCGCGCGACCTCAACTTTATTGAGACACTGCCTTTAAGTGTAGACATGTACACTAAAACTGCTTCAGATATATATATATATGAAGTATGGATTACGTAAAGCTTGTAGACATCATAGATCTCATGTAAGTTTCTTCAGGTTTAAAGGCAGCGTCCCGGCAAAAAGTGCCGGGTTTTTGTGGCGATGTTAAATTGGACCCCTACCTAAGCGATGACTGAAATTCGGAGCGAAAAAGGTCTACCAAGCCTGAAATTGCTTGGAAAGTAGCCCGGATCTTGCGATAGGCTCGAATGGTCCGCACAGCGATTTCGATGCAAGGCCAGAGCACGCATAGCAGCGCAGGGTCCGCAACGACCCTGCGCTCATAACTGGCGCCCTGCCCTTAACTCTGCGTCTCTACCTTGAATGCATCTCGTACTCGCCCAAGCCTACCGTAGATCCGGGCCACTTTTAGGTCAAGTTTCGACCTTGGCGGACCCCCTTTTACGCACAGTTATTTTTTCAGTCATCGCTTACGTAGGAGCTTTACTTCAGCATCGCTACAGAAACCCGACACCTCCACTTTGGCGGGACGCTGCCTCCAAAGGAGTATCCCGGCAGATTTTGTACATCCACCTTTCTGCATGTTTTAGGCCTTTTCGACACGTAGAACCCGAATTTGAACATAAAGGGGGGTGAAAACGATTTTGGAGCCTTTACCCCAAAAAAGCAGCTTGGAAGAGATATTCAATAGAAAGTTGGGAGGGCCCGACAAGAAGACCCTGTAGCCGCTAATTTATGCTTTTGGTAGCGCACACAATGCGGGAGCGGTCTGAAATCCCCGCCGAACAGACAAGCAAAGCCGTTCGAGCGCGCCGTTTGGGGTGCGCCATGGATGTAATTTCCGGGATGAACACAGTCACCTCAAGTTTCTTTTTGTTAGCAAAAGCTACTGCAAGTAGCACAACCCCTTACGGTTTCATCGCGAAGTCTCCAGGCCGTTGATTTGATATCGACGTTGTTACTGCCGGCTGATGGAAACTGAGCAGAACTGGTATCCTTAAGCATGAAATTATAAAATGCTATACTGAAAAAAATGCTTTCGAGAAAATAGGTCGAAAGTGAGCAAAAAGTGGACTCACTTCACGGGTGCTTAGGTAGGCTGCGGTGCTTCTGATATCCGGGATGAATTGGATTGGCTGGGAAGGTTGCATCTGTTTATACTATGCTGAGAAGGTCTTACCGGATTAGGTCGAAGGCGCGCCGCGGTTGCCCTTATGTCGGGTGCATGGATGTTCTGAAAATAGAAAATTTAAAAAAATAAAAATTAAAAAAAAATTAAAAATTAAAAAATAAAATAAAAAATTTAAAAAAATTAAAAAAACAAAATTAAAAAAATATGTCAAAAAATATCAAAAAATAAAAGTAAAATTGATAAAAAAATATCAAAAACAAAAACAAAAAAATCGGATATCTAAATAGAAACTTCGAACTCGGATACCTCAAGCGAAACTTGCACCGTATCTTGGGGGCTACTCTGGAATTAGACAGTTTGATATAGAATTTCAAATTATAAGAATTTTTCAAGCGTTGCATTCTGCTGCCTTTCGTGAACTATTCGTACGGGAAACTGAAACGAAAATACTAGGTGATAAGTTTGATTTACTAAAAATACCTAACGGCGAACTCACAAGATTATCGTTAGGGTTAACGTAATTCTTTTTCACTGGGTACTGAAAAAAACGCTCTGAGCAAGCCACTTCGATAGGACAATCAACTCACCATTATTGAAAGTTGGCTGCTGAATAGCGATTGCCTATAAATATGAATGTTGAGGAAATATGTTAACAACAAAGCAGATGTTTCAGAAGTCGGTAAACAAACGCATCTTATACTTGCCGCTGAGAACGAACGTTTCTGAGCTTAGCACGACTACACTATGGCTGATGAAGAAGCTCTATTGTTATCTATCACGAGTCATCCTCTTTTCAGTTTGCCGTCTTCTGGCCAAACGTGGTTCGAAGTTGAACCGAGCGTTGCCTGATATGTTTTCACCATCATATGGTCTTGTCTAATCTTCTCGCGTGCGTTCTATGGTGAGTCGTTTGCTTTTTTCTTGATTTTCCTATGTTGATCTTTAATCAAAAATGCGAGTATCATTGATTTTATTATCTGTGTGCGGACTAGTAGTTCTCACACTGAAGCGTCAAGAATGGTTTTTTCTTTGTAAACCTCAAATCGCTCTGTTCAGCTGCAACGTGAGAGCTAGTAACTAACTATATTTGTTTTGTTCTGCCTACGATAATATGTCGTCTAATATCTTCTTAAGGTGAGTGTCTTCAATGGTCTTGACTGTGATTACCAAGTGGCCTTATCCTTCCTGGGGCAGCAGCAGTTGTTATCAGAAAGCAGCAAGAGAACAGTCTGGTCCTAAGGACTCTCGAGAACAGAAGATTGAGACTGATTACAGCTTCGCTTAAGGTTGGTTTTTTATGTTTTTCATTTTTCTACTATGTGCTCTTAATATCTTTTACAACTAGGCGGGAAATATTTTGATGAAGTTACGTGATCGAAGTTCAACTTCGATCCAGCATGACTTTTTTTGTTACTGCAGGTCACACAATAATCAACTTGTTCAGATGCAAGGTTGTTGACAAGCAGTGGACTAAATCGAATGCAAATGAGTTGCAAAATTAAGATGTGGCAGATCTGCGACCACATGCACGAGGCAGGAAATTCTTTGGAAAAAATTGTCCAATTTTGATTGTTGTTCGTATTTGCTGAAATATGCAATAAATCTCGATGTTTATTTTGACACACAAACAGCTCGATGATAGTTTATTACAAGGAAAGTGTGACAAATTTATTATCAAGTCTTGAATATTCTTCACTTAGCGCCGTCAATTCCTCGCGTAGGCATCACGCCATGTCAATCTAGCAAACTTGGTGGGAGAGGATTGAAGAGATGCAGAGGATTTATGCTGCAATCATAAGGTATAACGGGATTCATGACGTTAAGAGGAAGACACTTACGAAAGAAATGTATTATCCCACAGATAGACGTTGTGATGGACCTTGAGATGGCGGAGATTCAATAGTAAACTGCGCTTCCGGGCTAAAAATGAACCCATTAGGGCAAAGACAAGCACGTGCGAAAAGAATATACCATATTAACAAACTCACCAAAATGGGTAATAACTTTCGTTTCAACTGAATGAGATCGTAGATGAAACATTTGAGAAGAGAGATGGGCACCTAAAGCGAAAGGGTGTAAAGAATAAGAACAACCTAGACAAAGGTAAAAATAGAACCCACTTACTTCTCCGATTTGACTAAGCCACAATAGCAGGTGTCTAAACTTGCAACACGAGACACAGAGCCTTTCGCTGACACCTGCGTTTTGAAACGTTAGCAACTTTGAGGAAGAATCCTAAACGTACCTGTATGCGTATATCGAAAACGGCATGCATTGTTAGTTCTGAAGGAACAATAAAAAGCGTTTCGACTAAAGAACGTTGGGTCATGGACCCTATAAAACGAGAACATTACGAAAAAAAGATGAGAATCACAAACCTACCAAGTGTTGATAACTCACACACAGCAGACAAACACACAGCCTTCATAGATGACACAATGGAAGAAAAATAGGCACCTAAAGCAAAATGGCGTACAACATCAGCGTAATTTCGAGCAAGGATCCTGAACATACCTGTGCGCTTGAACCAAAACGAGGCTGACAGAAACAATGAGGGGTCATCGACCAAAGAACGTCGCGGCATGGATCCTATATGAAGAGATAACATCATGAAAAAAAGATGAGAATCACAAACCTACCAGATAACTCACACACAGCAGACAAACACAAGCTCCTACATGTGCATGGCAAGAAAAACAGGAGCTAGGAATCCCACAAATACCACAGGTCTAGAAAAAAACTATTGCGCTGGATTGCGACATATTTCTTCATCACTGAACTACGATAAAACTTTCTGAGGCACCACAGCGCGAAAAAACGAAGAAGCGAGATAAATTGAACGAGAAAATCCCATCACTGCCAAGCAGGGTCAAGCGTGTGATGCGACTGTCGCAACGGGGGGTCGTAAAGGGGGCCTACGGTCAGGGGAGGGGGTCGTAAGAGGGGGTAGTTTGGATAAAAAACCGTACAATTGAAAGCAAATCAAATGGCAAGTAAATATTACATGTTCTTAACAATAAATTCATGGAATGCCGTGCCGTGTACTAATGTATCAAATAAAAACGAGTGAACAATAATTTGAAAACATTCGCAAGCGTAAGAATTCGCTTCATTTGCTGCACTTTTGAAAGATTATGACTTATTGTTAGTTCTTTTTTTATGGGAATCGCTATCTCTCCCGCAAAATATTGTCTCAAACGGGAATCGAACCCTGCTGGCATGACTAAAATCAAAAAAATAAACATTTTCAGAAGCTCAAATGCTGCCAAAGGCATGTATATGTGATAAAGATGTTGGACGTACCGATCGGTGTAGACATCCTGCTTCCGAAGGCTCACTGAAGACTCGCACACTCGACAAAAGCGCACATGTAGATCAACGATGACAATCAATAATTCGTAAATCTTTTTGTAATGCCATTTATGCGGCCCTTACAATTTACGTGTGCTTTAGATAAGCCCTACTACTGCTGTGAGAAATCTGGTGTTATTTTATAAACTGCGGATTTTCTTATGATTTTATGTATGCTAGCAAAAAATGAGAAAAGGGGGGTCGTATCTGCGCCTGATCTAAGTTTCTCCGGAGCTATTGAAGCTTGTTAGCTGCAAACTTGCTGTAATACGAGGCCATCCCTCTAGTTTTTATCGTAAGAATTTCAGGCTGTTTTATAACTTCTCTGGTAAGTTACAAAATTTTAGGCTCAAAAATCCCAGTTTTTGCTTTCTAGGATCGCATCTAAATTTGCGAGAGACTGATCTAAATTTTTTCGAGCTCACTGCTCCTCAAGGGCTGAAACTTTTTCTATGAATAGTCTGGGCACTATGCTACTGAACCTGTTCTTTGCAGCCTCTCAGTCTTTTCCTGGCCTTAGTTACGGATTTTCAAACTACCGTACTCATGCATGCTTTTGACGTCGTTCTAGACGGCGCTAAAGCGGTTTTTTTCGCAGGAAAAACTGTGGAAGAGGTAAGAACTGAGCTTCTTAGTCGAAAACATCTTTTGTAGTTCAAGAATGTCATTTTGTTCTCCGTGTAAAAATTTGTATCGCATAAGGAATCAAATTTGCTGGCCTGAAGTGTGCCTGAAAATTCAAAAGTAAACTTGCAGAATCTCAAACATTATTTAAGATGTGTATATGTGCTAGAGATGCTGGGCGCACCCATTGGCCTAGAAATTCTGCCTCCGAAATTCCGCTGAAGTTCTCACGCAGGTGTTTTTTGAGATTGACATTAGTTTATGCAGGTTACCGCGAGAAATGTGGGCAGGAGAGGTAAGGGGGGTAGATGGGGGAAGGGGAGGGGGGGGAGGGGAGGGGGGGGGGTCGTACGGATGGGTACCTTCATGGGGGGGGGGTCGTAAATGAGGGTCCAGGATCGCATCAACACGCTTGACCCTGCTGCCAAGCCAAAACCCTAAAACCTCAGCTACAAAAGAATTGTGACGCAGATCGGCATGATATGACATCGCAAAATTATTACGAGGCTGAATGAGGACAAAGTGAGCGAAAGAACAAAGAAATGAGACGAATCGGCCGAGAAATTACGATGCCAGCGCCGGCGCCATCGATCGAGGCCTGGCAAAATGCCCGGGCACGCATCGCAGACGCCGCGCGGGGTTTAGGCGATGCGGCCGTGCGGGGCGGGAGCTGCTGGTGTAAGCGACTCTGTAATTGAGGAGCCCTGTATGTCTTATGTGGATAGTGTTTACGAGCAAGCTAGAATTTTTGTAGAATTCTTACGAACTGAATTATGATTTTTCTTGATTTTTCGGGTAGTTGAATCTTTTTAGTTTTTGGCTCGAAATTCGAAGTGGATCAGAGCTGTTGTTAAAGCAGGAGAGCCATCTTGTAGAGCTTGCTTTGCTCTATCAAATGGTACCTTGAAAGCTATTCAGGAATGAAAAGTGTATGACTTGTTGCGGTTGAAATTCAAAACGGACATTAATTTCCGGACAACCTAATATCTTCATATTGGTAAAAATCCGAGAGCTTGCTGCTTTAGTGACTGCAAAAAGATCTGTGATCGTCATTGCTATCACATCCACCTCAATGCAGTTTTACACCGATGATTCTTTTTGAGGTTATCAACTCATATCATTGTTGAAGCTACTTACAGCGTCACTTTGGATACCAGCAAAAAGATGAAGCATGATACGCAGAAAAAATTAATGAAGATCAGAGAAGTTTTCAACGCTGTTTGTTGCAGGGGGCAACCATGGCACAAAAAGCAGTCAAATCGCAAATTTTTCTTCAGCCAAACATTCTGATAAGATACGAAGTCAGAAAACTATAATACAATGTTCTGGACATCAGCATGTTGCACTAGATTTTGAAAAGCAAACAATTAGACACGTGAAACGCCAAGTGTAGAGATTTCCTGCTTCACATAAAGCCATAAATTCATTATGTAGAGTCACTTACAGGGTCGATATATTTGCCGCTGCTTGCATAAACCTCAGCAGGGACATCTCGCCTTCTTTGGCTGCAGGAGCTACATAGAACTCTTCAACTCGAAAATCATCTAAAAGGTACAGATATGGTGCGTTCTGAGGAAAATAGAGCAAAAACTATCGAATACATTCGAAACTCACATTCTCCTTGAACATCAACGCTTTTAACCAAATCAAGATGGAAGCATAGGCGCTCGTCTCCTTTGGTGATTTCGACTGTGAAGGGTGGCACTGCTATCACAAGAACAGAATAAGGAAACACTTAATGTTTGTGGCAAAGCGATCAAGCGATCAAAATTTCGCTCAAAGCTGGAATATGGCAATAACGCGGAAAATGGCGGTGGAGCGCGATATCTGACAGGGCGATTTTCGGAAAAAAGGATGATAAAAAACGACGAACAGGGGGTGATATGATAATGTTTTTATGCTCAAGGAGAGATTTTTGACCGAGCATCCGTCCATGCTAACAAGATCCGAAACTTATGTGAAGTGACGAAAATATTTGCTCCAAACGATCTCAGATCGTGGCCGTCTGGAGACGATCTAATTTTGGAAAAGGTATTACTTCATATAAGTTTTCAAATCTTTTTACATAATTCTTCCGCAAATAATTTTCTATACGTATAGTTCAATTTTGGGGTCATATAATTTTGTGTGCGCTGTAAACAAGCGATTTGCTTGTTTTAGCCTTGCTTTCAAATCACGCGCACTTTCGCCATACACGATAGAGCATGTCAATCGTGTGATAGCCTGTCCGAAAAGCTTGTGTTCGTTTGGATGGTCGTTTATCTTTGACATAGAGGAGAAAGTGAAGGAATTATCATATCTTATAATGACTGGCTAAGGGTGCTTACGTTTTTTGTGTTGTGTCTGTCTGTCTGAAACAAATCTGCATATTGCAATTTGAAGACTTGAGACTATGGTCTATCCTGGATCCCAGCCTTAGGGTGGCTTTCTTTTTGGAGTACTCCTTAATGCTTTTAAACGAGGACCTTTAGGTGTTGGGGTTGGATAGTGGAGAGTTAGCGATGATCAAGCTGGTGACATCTACAGAAGTGCCTCAAAGATCTGGAAGACCTTGGGTTTAGTGACTTCAAGGTAATTTCTTGGTCATTTTCATTGCTCCTGCTTGTTGCATGAATTTTCTGGTGCTTTCATCACTACTCACGTTTTTCATCGAATTTTCCGTGTGTAATGTATATTCGAGTCTGTTTGGGTTTCAAAGCCAATTAAATCATTCCTGGAAACGAGTGTGTCAGATCCTTACTTGGCGCATCCAAATCCAGGAGCAAACTACCGTAAGACCTACTAATTTTTCTAGAAATTAAGTTGATCTCTCGATCACTTACTGCACCATAATCATGTTTCTCTCAAATTCTTGTTTAGGAGTGCCATCTCAGGAGCGACTGCCTCTTTATTCGTTTGAGGGTTGCTCCGCTACCAGATGAAGTGGTAGCTTTGCTCGAAGAGTCGGCAGAGGTTCTGAAGTCTATAAGAGGAGGGCATGTAGATGATACGACTTTGACAGAATCCAAGTGAGACGTTTAGTACCGTATCTTTGTGTACTGCTCACTCACACCTTTTCCAGGGCAAAGCTGTTGGCTGTTTGCGAAGAGAGTCTGCAATATTATATGGATCTTGATGGTACAGAAAGAGCGGAGAAGAGATCGCTGAACTTGTTGAGAGGGTCAGTGGATAAAAAAGCCAAAAATCTTGGAAAAGATTTTGAAACTTTTCAGATTTGGTCTTTTGGTCCTGGCAGAGCCAAAACTAACATTCTCATCAATGGAATTCCTAACTTTATAAAAAGCCTAAATGGGACAGTAGTGAGTGGCTAATCAATTTCCACTCTCCTCAAGCTTTTCAGAATCCGAGCTGGACATGTGCAAAAATTTTTTCCGGGGCTCCGCCCCGGAACCCGCAAAAACGATATCCTCTTTGCTTTTTGCTCCAAAAACGAAGTCTAGCCTGCTTCTAGACAATCTGTGCCGGGCCCTGCGCAGAGTCCAGCAACGACTTTGCGTCTCTAGCTTGCATGCATCTCGTACTCACCCGAGCCTACCATAAGATCCGGGCCACTTTCGGGGCAAATTTCAGGCTTGTACCCTTTTTTCGCTCCAAGCTTCACCCACCGCTTAGGTAGAGGTTCTTAGACATCGCCTCAGAAACCCGGCACCGATCTTTTTGCCGGGACGTTGCCTTTAAGGGCACTACTTCACAGTCCAAACTACTTGACAGTATGAAATTGTTGCAATTAATACAATGATACATTTGACCGGCAATCCTGAGAAGTCGGTTCTAGCTATCTATCGCAGAACAGCAATGCACGGTTTTTTGCATGAGAAGCGCGGCATCAAGCTGGATGAACGGGGGTTTTAAATTCAGCGTCATATGCATCGATATGGGCGATGCAACGCAAATGCTGAGGTTCGCATTTTCGACTTAAGGCGGTTTTGACGGAGAATTTGGAATAAGAGCTATATGGCATTTCTCAACTGTATCCTGGAAAAAATATACAGCTGCTGGGAGGTTTTGTAATCTGCAAAGTGATAAATTTCAATTGTTTCCACTCAAGTTTGGACAATATCCATTTTATCCAATTTGTTCAGTCTATTTCCGTGTCCACGTAAGCAGCTATTAGGGTGTCCCATAATTTTTTCCTTTTTTACCCTAGATATCAGCCTTTTTCGAGAACTGGGGCACAAGTTTACAAATACATGGTCGTACTTCTGTATGTATGAGCTATATGATCACGTACTTGGGAGGAGCTCAGGATGCTTACGGGCGGAGTTTGCCATTTTGCGCCATTCAATTTTTCTTTATTTCTAGCCATGGAAAAAAGAACAGAAACAGCACAATTGAATGTGCGATGTGTTAAGCATACGCTAGGATAAATGGGGAATTTTAAGATATGTTGGAGTAGAGATATAAGTTTTGAAGGAGAAGTTCGTTTTCAACTGCTATCAGATTTCAGCTCAGAACTTCCGATGAAATATGATTTGGGTGGATTCTTCACAGCCCTTTTGTAGAGCCTTTGTCCTATCGAATAATTATTCAAGCCATATCAACTGAAGGGAAATTACAAAGAGACGACGGTTATAGTAAAAACGGTAAAAAAATTATGGGACGGCCTAATATTTCGCAAGAACTTCAAAATCAACCCAGAAAGCTCCTGAATTTTTTGAGAAAAAAAAGATTGTGGTCTGGAGAGAGAGGTCCACTTTCAAAAGCACCTAGAAGATTTTTAATCCATTCTCACTTAAGGGGGTTTAGACTTGGCTTTTTGAATATAAGCACTTACCGCGTTTCGGTGAAGCGCAATCAGATGCAGCCTCAGAGTGTGTAAAGTTGAAAGTGCTTTCATCATGTCTCTGTTTGTGAGAATTCAACAATAAACCTTGAAAAAATCGATCTTTGCACACGCCATGGCTTCCTACAGATATAGGGACTACATTTTGAGAGATAAATCACTTTTTCTCACCCAAGGGACACAGCAAATTTGGTGGAAAGAAATATGTGAAGAGAGCATAAGAGAGCGAGGAGAAGAGAAGCTAAGAATTCCGGCTAAGAATTCGTATTTAATTTTAATTTTTTTTTAATTCTTTGATTTTATATATTTGTAACGCATACAAGGTTTAAATCTTGACTGTGCTAAATGTTCCTTTACAGGGATCGGCACAGCTGGTTCTGGGCCAATCTGGACATAGTTCCTGTAAAAGAAATCAAAGGAGATGGAGGATTGCAGAAGACAAAAAACGAACACTACATTAGATGTGCATCCAAAGATGAGCACAGATATCCGACAGGGTCATTACTTACGTGCTCTAGCGACCTGGCAAAGGGTGTAAGAATTTCGTCCTAAATAATGCTTTGTTCACATAAAGCATGCAATGTTATGCACCATTTCGGTGTGCAAATGCACGTGAGAATGCCCGAACTATAGCCCAGGAATTTACAAAAACTTATATAAATGGAAAACATGCGCAACTTTTCGAGTCAGGGGTACTACCTGAGTTGGACGTGACACTTTGTTTACCTAATTTTTCATGCTTTACTTTGAAATTGTTACTACATATCGAAAGTTTTTGGACTAGCACAAAACGGTTCGATACTTCTTCGATTACGCTTTCTGTAGCCGTCAGAAAATTTTTGACGATGGTGCAGATCTGCTCTAACAGCAAAGCGCGCCCCTAAGCGAATCAATATGCGAATATTTGTATATTATTGGTCTACGACCGTCTATTTCTATTCTGCTTTAGCTCACTCCAGAAAATAGTGAGGGGCTCTGAAAATGTCAAAAGAGGCATTGTGACAAGATTCGGAAGCTTGGGCACTTCGTTTCCAAAAACCCGGTTCCAGCTAGTGTCGAGCCCTGGCCCTTATTGCACAAGCTACAGCTACACAAAGACTGAGAATAATCTACTGCGCTTGCGCAAAATTATCAGACTTGCAACATGCAAAATCAATCAATTTATTTTTCAAAATTTTTTCGACATAGCAATTTGTGTTGAACTCCCACAGAATGTTAGAACAAACGAATTTTTTTCAGTCCTCTTCTTTTGGAGAGCCCTATCTTTTTCTATTTGTTATCCATAGAACAATGGAAAGGTTAAAAAAGAAGCTCATTTTGTTTGCACATGTATGGAAGCTTTCAAATTTGCTTGGCACAGGCTGGCACTGTCGATTTCGATAAGTTGATTTATAGACACATGCTGTCGATGTGATTATCACAATGATTAGATTCTCAACATTTTGGAACGTTTTTAGCAAAATTTGGCTTTTCCAGTAGCCTGAAACCAATTTACGACTGATCCGCTTTATACTATAACCATATAATTCCTTGGTAAGACCTAGAGTGCCGAAAGTGAGTATGCAGCGACTAACAATCAATGCCTAGTTGTTTTTGAGGAACTCCACCATATTTGAACAGCTTGAGAGATTCAGATGTAGCTTGATTTATATACCCGCACTTGCCATAGGTAGTCATTCCAAGAGAAATTCTCACATTGTTCATTCATCCCGACTCTTCTCAGATCCAATGATACCATCATCTCATTACAGTACATTCATATATAAGCCATGCAAGTTCTTTGTGGATATCCTGACAATTCCTGGGAGCAAGTTTGCTTCTTTTTCATAAAGCAAGTCCGTCAAATCATGAAAGATATAGTTGCTGGTAAAATTTATATTGGTGAACATGAATAGTCGAGCTCTACACCGTCAAAACATCAGATTGTCAGTCGTGGAAAACTCAGCCGTTGTCGCATGTCATTTTGCTTTACCCGCAAAAGAAATTCAAAAGTTGAAAATGCAGCGCTATTTTTTACTTGTCAAGAATTATCATCGCATCACATCAGTGGCGACCTCATTTATCGTTAGAAGGAGGGGGGGGGGGGGGGGGAGAGAAGGTAGCAAAGAAATTTTTTCGAGTAAGGGTACGTAACTTTAGCACGCATACCGTTGAAATTTTTTGGAATGCTTCCCAGCAATCTATGGCCCATATACAAAAATCCAAAAAAGGAACGTGACGGCAGTCACACTGCCCGAGGAAATTTTTTTACAAGGCCATTCTGAACTTCCATGAATATTTGAAATATATGAATGACTTATAAGTAGCTTTTGAAGAAGTCGTCCCCCTTCCACCGCCACTGTAATATAACATCATCAGAGCGTTCATTAGAAAAAATCATCACTTTTTGTAAAGATAATATACCTTTTTAGTACGAGAATGAAATTTTTACTGCTCCTGATTCTTCTGGGGATGTGCGCATTAGTGTCATCGAAGGATTTGACCCGGGAAGGTGGAAAAAAGTGAGATGAAACTGTACTGTCTTATCAAAGCGCAGAAGAAATCACTTTGTTACAGGTGGAAATTTATGTGCAATGAAGGAAAATGCAAGCAGGTTTGGAAAGATAACTACAAATATCGTGACGCTTACGACAGTATAGAACAATGCGAAAAATACTGCTACTAGCAGTCTTGTGGTTTAACAGCGATGGATCACCAAAAAAATAAAGCTTCTCTTGTTGGTTGACCTGTAGCTGTTATACCGCAGTGTATTTATCTGGAGAGCAATAAAGCAGCATCGGAATTTTGTCTTACTAACAAAGAAACCAGTGTTAGGGATGATGATATGTTGAGAAAAAATCTCATATTGGATTGAATGAGGTTTTATTCAACATGATTCCCGCAGGTTGCTAGTACTTACCCTAATGCACCAAATTCATTTCAAGAATCCGCTAAGAAAAGCAGCTCGTCGAGTAGCAATTAGGAAATGCGCTCATTCTATGATCATTAATTTGCCTATACTGCGCTAAAATCAACTTGATAAAATGCAATTTGATGGAAAAAGGAAAACATGTATAGGTTGCTGCACGACGAAGGCCAGCGCATGAGGCGCAGGATCTACAACGGTGTGGATAAAATCTTGGAAAATAAATTTCCTCTTAACTTTGCAACACTATTATGTCTAACCTGCGGGACGCTCATAAAAAACAGAGGAAAATAAGTAAGAACATTGAAAAGTGAAAACATTACGGTATGCGTGTCCGGTGTGCATCACCGCATGCGTAGAGCAGCATTGCTGCAGCCGTTCAGAAATTTGGGGAAGAGAGAGTAAAGTCTACCGCACGAAATCGCCCGGGTTGCTGTAGGCGAATGCACAGTCATTCTAGAGAATTTGAAAAGCCACGTATAGAAGTTGCACTGACTTGCATTTTGCTTACTCCATCTAACTGAAGCACTTGCAAAAGCCCCAAACGAAAATTTTAAAAAATAGTTATTGAAGTAGGGGAAAAATTTTTTGGCTGGAGATTTTGATGTTTATGTGAGCGGTCATCGAAGGACAGAACAAAAACATCAATGCTGGAAAGAGGAAAAATTCTGCATAGAAAACTGTCTGTAGCGTTTGTCTGTCGTTATTCTGAGTGATTTGAAGATACCAGTATATGTGAAAAAAATTCAAAACACAACCCATCTGGTGGCTCTAAAAACACAATGACCATCTAAATAAGAAAAACTTGTCATGCCTCCAATTCACGTTCAATTTTTCATAATTTTCCAAAAGTAGTTTTGATATCTAATCATCAAATGTGTCATATCATACTGGAAGTGACTTAAGCACTAAGGTGATTCTTATGAGTGTTTTATGCTCTAATGGTCGCAAAGACCCTAGTCGAATCCGTTGTCACAATCCTATGAATCCCTATACTTTAAGTTTGTAAGCCGCATCCTGTTGCTTCAAAGGTAAATACGACAAGGGATTGATTTCGTGAGTCACCGTGAAAGGAGTGGAACTGACTGACTGAGAAAGTTCACTGACACAGCGATCGCTTCGCAAAACTTCTTCTTCGCAAGTCACGTTGGAAGGTGATCTGCTTTTGCCTTCTCGTGATAAAATCGCAGTTGAGCAGTCGTTTGTAGCAGAATGCGACGAGCTAGCAGCAAACCCAAGCAAAATGTATGGACAAGGAATTGTAAAGCACCGCAGCTTTGCACGACCACCACTTTATGGGACTCAAAAGGAAAACCACGGATTAGTTTGAACTTTGCTCATCAATGTTATTGTGTCCGTGGCGACGATCACCTTCTTTCAAATGACACTATTCTGAGACGGTTATGGCGCGTACGAAATACGAAGCCCAAAATCACAAAAAGTCAATCTTTCTGCAAAGGGATTGTTTGGGACGCTGTTTACGCTCTACAGGGTGTCCCAAAAGTATGTATACACTATTTGAACATTAATAACTCTTTTTCCAAATAATCTTTGGGATGCCTCCAGGTACCACTCTATGGAATTAGCTTCAATTGAGATTTGTAGTATAGAGCGAATCATCGACCGCTCTTCGTTACTGTAGGATCATGGTAGAAACTTTAAGAAGGATCTTGGTTACTGAGAGCCATATTTTCCTCACAAAGGAAACCACACAAGTGAAAGACTTTTACACTAAGTTAATCGAAGGCATTGATTCTGAAGATGAAGTTACCATCTTACCCCACAATACTTTTTTCATAGGTCATTGCAGATATACCATAACTGGTTCTCTCGATATTTTTCAAAAATACGATTGCACCATCAAAAAAGTTTAGAACCTATAAAGCCGTGTAGTGAAATTAGCATGCGCGAAAACCCTGCCACACAGTTTCCGAAATTTTTTGTAAAAATATTTTGTCAGACAGCCTATTTCACAATAGTTCCTTGTGCTAGAATTCCCTACCGTAATCTACGGTTATGAAGAGCAATCGTTGTTTGCATCATACAGTAAATCTAAGTTGAAGTCAGCTCTACAAAATGTTACCTGAGGTAGGCAGAATAAATGATACCTGAGGTAGGCAGAATACTTCTTACAAGAAAGATTGGACAGTGTATATTTACTTCTAAGATACCTTGTATACAATAATGATTTTCCCCATCTGAAGCCACCCAAATTGAAGAGTCAATTACAACCCAAAGACATTTTGCAATGGTTACCACTATTGGTGATGGCGCTCCATAAGCGGTACTTTACGAATACGTACATGCACTATGCATTAGGTTGGTATGAAAGTTCTCGGACATTTTTGACTCAATTTTTTTGGCAAGTAAAAATACAGGCAAGAACGAGTTAGGTGGGTCAAATGTGGTATCAGTCGATAGGTCGAAAGCAGCTCTACCCGATAAGCTTAGACAATCAGTTTATCATATCGATCGTCAGCAGAAATGCCTTCCCGTTTCAAGCCTTCGGAAATCCACGTTCGGCATGTTTTGCTATTTCTGTTCCAATCAGGCCTCAATGCCAACGAAGCCTATCTTTGCCTGCAAGATGTTTATAAAGAAGGTGCGCCGGCTTGAAGCACCATCTATCGCTGCTTCTCCAGATTCAAGGAAGGCGACTATTCTATGGAAGATGACGGCCGAAAGGGTCGCCCGATGAAGTTGGACTTGGACTTGCTGCGGGACGAAGTGGAAACGAATCCTTACAAAACTACGCAAGTCAGGTGTTTTCACATTAAGTCTGCTTTTAGGTCCACAAGCACGTACATCGGAGGAGGGGAGGGGATTTGAGACGATTATCATATTCAATTGCTGCCAGGATTAAAGATTAGCCCAGTGATTTTTTTTTGTAACTCAAATTTTTCGCAGCAAAAACCTTTCACGCAAAATGGAAATCATTTTCGTAATCAGTGGCCATATTTATCATTGCTACCTGGGGTAAAATGTACAGTCGGCTCCAATCGGAATCAGGCCGAGTCTCGCCGTAAATTTTGCGCGCTCGCAGCGTTAGGCGTTTGCGCTACATATGCGCGCTGTTGGAGAGAGTGAGGAGATCGAATAGGGAGCAGACAAGCAGGCCGTGGGCGTGACAGCGAAACCCTAGCGACGCGGACTCCCGCCGTGCCAATTTTGGCCTGATTGGGATTGGGACAGACTGTACCTTGAGGTAGTTTATACCTCAAGGTACAATTTACCTTAAGACTATTTCGTATTCGTCAAAGTACCTCAAGATTGATTCTACCTCAGCTTGCATGATTTGCGGTGACGCTCATTCAGGGCATCTCATAACTCTCAGCGGTGTGTGAAATGCCTTATTGTTAATCTCTTTTCTACTTTCGTGCTGTAGGTATGTACATTTTAGGGCGTTCGCACGCAATGCTCGCTTTGCGTATGTTGCGCCGCTGCAGGAGCGGATGAGAAAGACAAAGAGACCGCTAGGTGATCACAGCCTGATTTTCTCAAAAGACGTATCAATCTCATTTTGTAATTTATTCCTAAGCGGTCCTGTGTGGAATCCCAAATCGCAATCGTAATTACTACAATCTGCACTCTGGATCAGGCCGATTTACATAATGCCCGTTCGCACTGCCATTATCTAAAGTCAGGTTTGCGGTTTGCTGCAGTTCTGTCACGATTTGTCCGATCTCTTCCCATTTTCTGCGATCTATCCGGCGCCCTTCCAAAATTTTTTCCCAAAAGTTGATTTATCTTACACTTTTTAAAATTTTTTCAA